AGCTCTCTCTCCTGTGGCACCTCTGTGTTTTCTGGGAGCCCCATGGAGAAGAAATGTCCATGCCAAGACCATGGAAATGCTGCTCCTGGTCTGTGGGCAGCTGCAGTGAGCCCTGTGTGTCCCTGGCTGGGAGGGCAGAGCTGAGATGCTGCTCAGGGAGAATGAGATGGGCTGAGGGGCTGGGAGAGCTGCACTGGTACATCTGACTGCTCTGCTCTCAGCCATGTTCAGTTTCTCCTCAGGAGAACATCTGTGTGTGATGGTCCTGCAGCTGAAAGAGGTGCCAGCTCAGGGCAGCTGAGAGCAGGACTGATGGACAAAGTAGCTGTCCTCACTCTGCACTAAGGGACAGTGAACAGTCCCCTTGCCTCTCAGCACACAAAACGTTTCACTTGGAAAGCAGGAGGTGCCAAAGACTTCTGTCTTAAAAACTTTCCGCAGGTGTGGTGGGGAGACTAGAGCAGAAGACACAATCCTCTCAGCTCTGGTCTGCAGTTGGGTGAGTCTGGAGGAGTAATGCTGAAAAGTTCTTCGATATCTCAAATTGATTTAGTCTGAGGTCACCTCCTCTTCTTTTCAACCTATAGCTGCAGGACAGGAGTGACTCCTCCAGAGCTCACAGCTCCCTGGTGGATCAAGATCCAGCAACAACCAGACAGTACAAAGAGGACCTTCCAAAGGACTTTGTGAAGGACAAGAGGAAGTTTGTGTATCTGTAACAGCAATTAAGTAGATATTTTTGTGAGATGTCTGCTCTGAATTCTCCCTGTCTTTTTCTTTCATGAACAGGTCTCCATGCCCAGAGGCAGCAGATGCCCAACAGCAGCTCCATCAGCCAGTTCCTCCTCCTGGCATTCGCAGACAGGCGGGAGCTGCAGCTCCTGCACTTCTGGCTCTTCCTGGGCATCTACCTGGCTGCCCTCCTGGGCAACGGCCTCATCATCACCACCATTGCCTGGGACCACCACCTCCACACCCCCATGTACTTCTTCCTGCTCAACCTCTCCCTGCTTGACCTGGGCTGCATCTCCACCACCCTCCCCAAAGCCATGGCCAATTCCCTCTGGGACACCAGGGCCATCTCCTACACAGGATGTGCTGCACAGGTCCTGTTCTTTTTTTTCTTTCTTGGAGCAGAGTACTGTCTCCTCACCGTCATGTGCTATGACCGCTACGTGGCCATCTGCAGACCCCTGCACTACGGGACCCTCCTGGGCAGCAGAGACAGAGCAAAACAAATGTTAGCGTTTAAAAAGGACTTATATATTAGACAGAAGTGTCGTATATATGATATCTTTTGCCAAATAAGCATATTTACTACACTAATTCAAGGTATTGTAAGGTACAACCTGTAGAAAAGAAAAATCTAGGTTACCATAGCTCACTGAAACCAGATAGCATCTACACCAAATATTACCGAAACATTTCAGAAAGCAGAAAACCAAAGATGATTGCTCAATAAGGACTCTACGAACTTCATAGTTCTAGTAATCCTTAATAAACCCACACTTAATCCCCAGTCCATTAACTGTTGGCCTAGCTTAAATCCCTCTTTCCTCATAATTGATACTTCTTAACTTGTAAGATTCACATCTCAAAATCAGAAGTCAAAGTAGAAAACTAGTATGACTTATAACTTTTAAGTTTATACTGCTGGGCTCATCTACAGCCTCTTGAACATTAGATACAGATAAATCACCCATAAAGCAAAAAAGTAGATACTAAGTCACTCTCCTGAACAGAAGTCAGTTAATGGTGACAGATAAATGTTGCCATCTACAAAAAGTTTTCACCTCCAGTGTTCCCCCAGATTACCTTCTCTGTTTCTCTTCCAAATCTATCAGTCCACTGATAGCAACATGCCTTGGTCTTTGTTTCCAACATTAGACCAAATGTATAACTTATAGAATCATAGAATCATAGAATCATAGAATCTTAGGGGCTGGAAGGGACCTCGAGAGATCATCTAGTCCAACCCCCCTGCCAGAGCAGGGTCACCTAGAGTACATCACACAGGAACTCATCCAGGTGGGTTTTGAATGTCTCCAGTGAGGGAGACTCCACAACCTCCCTGGGCAGTCTGTTCCAGTGCTCTGTCACTCTTACAGTAAAAAAATTTTTTCGGATATTCACCTTGAACCTCCTATGCTCCAATTTACACCCATTACCCCTTGTCCTATCACTGGTCATCACTGAGAAAAGCCTAACTCCGTCCCCCTGACACTCACCCCTTACATATTTGTAAACATTGATGAGGTCACCCCTCAGTCTCCTTTTCTCCAAGCTAAAGAGACCCAGCTCCCTCAGCCTTTCCTCATAAGGGAGATGTTCCACTCCCCTAATCATCTTCGTAGCTCTGCGCTGGACTCTTTCGAGCAGTTCCCTGTCCTTTTTGAACTGAGGGGCCCAGAACTGGACACAATACTCCAGATGTGGCCTCACCAATGCAGAATAGAGGGGGAGGAGAACCTCTCTTGACCTACTAACCACACCCTTTCTAATGCACCCCAGGATGCCATTGGCCTTCTTGGCCACAAGGGCACATTGCTGGCTCATGGTCATCCTCCTGTCTACCAGGACCCCCAGGTCTCTTTCACCTACACTACTCTCCAGCAGTTCAGCCCCCAACCTGTACTGGGACATGGTGTTGTTCTTCCCCAAATGTAAAACTCTGCACTTCCCCTTGTTGAATTTCATCATGTTTCTCCCCGCCCAACTCTCCAACCTATCTAAGTCTCTCTGAATGGCAGCACAGCCTTCTGGTGTGTCAGCCACTCCTCCCAGCTTAGTGTCATCAGCAAACTTGCTGAGGGTACATTCTATACCCTCATCCAGGTCGTTGATGAAGATGTTGAACAACACCGGTCCCAGTACCGACCCCTGTGGGACTCCACTAGTCACACACCTCCAACCAGATTCTGCCCCATTGACTACAACTCTCTGACTCCTTCCTTTCAACCAGTTCCTAATCCACCTCACTTCCTGATCACCAAACCCATACCTGATCAACTTTTCTACAAGGATGCTGTGGGAGACGGTGTCAAATGCTTTACTGAAATCAAGATAAACCACATCTACCGCTCTACCATCATCTATCCACCTAGTAATTTCCTCATAGAAGGCTATGAGGTTAGTCAAACATGATTTACCCTTGATAAAACCATGCTGACTGCTCTTGATGACCCCCATGTCCTTGATGTGCCTGGAGATAGTGACAAGAACAAGTTGTTCCATCACCTTTCCAGGGATGGAGGTGAGGCTGACCGGTCTATAGTTACCCGGGTCCTCCTTCTTGCCCTTCTTGTAGACTGGAGTGACATTTGCTATCCTCCAGTCCTCAGGCACCTCACCTGTTGCCCATGATTTACTGAAGATGATGGAGAGTGGCCTAGCAATGACCTCCGCCAGCTCCCTCAGCACCCTTGGGTGCATTCCATCTGGACCCATTGATTTATGGATGTCCAGATTACTCAACTGATCCCTAACCCAATCTTCATCTACCATGTCAAACTCTTCCTCTATCTTGACCTCTTCTGGGGCTATATGAATCTGGGGCTCATAGGGAGACCCTGCAGGAGTGAAGACAGAGGCAAAGAAGGCATTCAGCACCTCTGCCTTCTTTATATCCTCTGTCACCAGGGCTCCCACCTCATTCCTCAATGGGCCAATATTGCCTCTATTGCTAGTTTTGCTAGCTATGTACTTGAAAAAGCCCTTTCTATTATCCTTAACCTGACTTGCAAGGTTAAGTTCCAAGGAGGCCTTAGCTTTCCTAATTGCCTCCCTACATCCTCTGACAACAGTCCTATATTCCTCCCAAGTGACCAGCCCCTCCTTCCATGATCTATAGATTTTCCTTTTCCACTTAAGTTTGCCCAGTAGTTCCTTCTTTAACCATGCAGGTCTCCTAGCACCCTTACTAGATTTCCTAACCATTGGGACACTCTGATCCTGTGCTTGCAAGAAGTGGTCCTTGAATGTTGACCAGCTATCTTGAGCTCCTTTATTTTCTAGCACCCTGTCCCATGGGATTTCCCTTAATAGATGATTGAGGAGACCAAAGTTTGCCCTGTGGAAGTCCAGGGTTCTGGTCCTGCTGGGTATTTTGTTCCTTCCACACAGGATCCTGAACTCCACCATCTCATGATCACTGCAGCCAAGGCTGCCATTGACCACCACTGCTTCAACAAGGCCCTCCTTGCTGGTTAGTACAAGATCCAGCAGCGCTCCTCTTCTAGTCGGCTTGTCCACCATTTGCATTAAGAAGTTATCATCAATGCATTGGAGGAACCTCCTAGACTGTGAAAGGCTGGCTGTGTGAGTCTTCCAGCAGATATCAGGGTAGTTGAAATCTCCCATGAGGACCAGCGACTGTAGTTGTGAGGCTGCTTTCAGTTGCTTGTAGAAAGCCTCATCAACCTCCTCACCTTGATCAGGAGGTCTGTAGTAGACCCCCACAACTGTGTCACCCGCACCTGCTTGCCCCTTAATTCTTACCCACAGAATTTCAACATGCCCCTCATCAGCCCCTGCATGAAACTCAATACATTCTAGTTGCTCTCTCACATAAAGAGCAACCCCACCACCTCGCTTCCCTGCCCTATCTTTCCTAAAAAGCACATAACCATCCATGGCCACATTCCAGTCATGTGAGCTGTCCCACCATGTCTCTGTTATTGCTACTAGATCATAACCCTTAGCCCGCACACAAACCTCTAACTCCTCTTGCTTGTTCCCCATGCTGCGTGCATTAGCATACAGGCATTTCAGGAAACGAACAGAGCACACTGGTGGGACTAAATCCTCCTTGGACGACCTGACTTTGGGCCATGGTGTGTTCCTCTTGTGCTTGTCCCTAACAGGCCTGGTTTTCTCCCCTTCCCCCTTCACATCTAGTTTAAAGCTCTATCAATGAGCCCTGCCAAGTCCTGCCCCAAAAGCCTCTTCCCCCTCTGGGACAGGTGCATCCCTCCTGCCACCATCAGTCCAGGTGCCTCATATAGCATCCCATGATCAAAAAAACCAAAACCCTGGCTATGGCACCAATCTCTTAACCATTCGTTGACCTGCAAACTCTTCCTATATACCTCCCTACCCATTCTTGCAGGAGGGATGGAGGCAAACACTACTTGCGCTCCAGACCCCCTAACTAGCTGTCCCAGGGCCCTGAAGTCTCTCTTCATTGCCCTTACATTTCTTGTAATAATTTCATCACTGCCAACCTGAAAAATCAGCAGCGGGTAGTAATCAGTAATTGTATGTCCTGCCCATCTCTGCTAGTTTTTCTGGCATTTGATTATCAACTTCACAGAGTTTTTGTTGCTCTGTTTTGCTTTTTCTAATGTTGTCCAGAAAGGAATGTCAGTATTTGTGCCCTTTCTAATTCTGTGTTTGTCCAGCTTGTGTCTGACCCAGAGACTGTGTAAATTAGGAGCCCTGCTCTCTGTGTGTTTCAACAGAATCCAGACCTTCCAGCCACTCAGAGATCCTTCCTTGGAGACCTTCTCAGAGCCTCTGTGCAGAGAGGCAGGAGAAAGGGCTGCACAACAGCACTGCCAGGGAGCACCAGCACTTGCTCCTACCCAAGCTGTTCCCTTCCCACTTTGCCAGGGGTTGCAGGCTGCCTGGCACCAGGATCTCCTGAGCATGCCAGCCAGAGAGACACTGCCCCTGACCTCATTGCACAGAGTCATGGAATGGGTTGGGGTGGAAGGGACCTTGAAGATCATCTAGCTCTATTGTCCTGCATGGGCAGGGACACGTCCCACTAGATCAGGTTTCTCCAAGGCCCATCCAACTTGCTCTGGAACACTGCATTTCCTTTGAAAAAATGTCCCTCTCTAGCCTTCCTGTAGCCCCCTGGAAGGTCCTCTAAGGTCTCTCTGGAGCCTTCTCTTCTCCAGGCTGATCTCCCTCAGCTCTCTCAGACTGTCTCCAGAGCAGAGCTGCTCCAGCCCTCCCATCATCTTTGTGGCCTCCTCTGAACTCACTCTGAGCTCTGGGGAGCCCAGGAGGAGCCTGGATGAGAGAGATGGGAGATTGGAGGGAGGGAGCAGGGCTGGCCCTGGGGCTGTAGGCTTCCTGAGCTGCTGAGCCTGCCAGATGGAGAGTCCCTGCCCCTGAGCTCCAGTTCCTCATTTCATTCTACAGGGCCTGCCCAGACTGGGCTGCAGGGAGAGGTGGAGGTGGGAGAGCTGGGGAAGAGCTGAGCTGGGCAGAGTCCCCGAGAGGAAAGCACCAGGGAACAGCTCAAGGGTGTGAGTGTGCAGGGTGGGGGCACAGCGGCGTGTTCCTGGCCCAGCCAGGCTCCTGGGACAGGCAGGAGCAACCAGCAGGGCAGGCTCTGCTCTGTCTGCACTGGGCAGCCCAGGAAAGCTGTCCCAGAGCCATTGTCACTCAGCAGCCAGAACAACCACCCTCCCCAGCACTGGCCTCTCAGCACAGCTGACAGAGATTGCTTGTCCCTCGCAGAGGACACATTGTCAGCAAGGGCAGGAAGGGCAGCAAGTCCATGTTTGCCCTGTGCAGAAAAGACCTGAACATGAACATCATGTGTGGGTGGTGAGATGAACCCCAGCGAGCACAAACCCCCACCCTCACAGGTCTGCATCTGGACATTGAGCTCTTGACCACCACTCTTTGAGTGCCACCATCCAGCCAGTTCCTTACCCAACAAGTGGTCCATCCATCAAATCTCTATGGTTACAGTTTTGATACCAGGATGTCGTGCGGGACACTGCTGAAGGCTTTGCACAGGTCCAGGTAGATGATGTTGGTTTCACTTCCTTAGTCCACCAGTGTCATGACCCCATTGTAGAAAGTGGCCAGATTAGTCAGGCAGGATTTGCTGTTGCTGAAGTCGTGTTGGCCATCACCAATCACCCCTTGGTTTTCCTGTGATTTAGCAGAGCCTTCAGCACCATCAGGACCAGTTTTCTTCCCACCAGGACCAGCAAGAACCACGCTGTGATGCCAGCCTGGCCGCTCCAGTTTGCACCCCCACTGACATCCTCCATGTCTACACGGAGTCGCAGCAGCTGCTGAAGGATGCTGAAGAAATCACCAGCAGCCAGACCTGGAATCCAGCTGGTGCCAAAGCAGGGCAGAAGCGCCAGCAGCTCTTGCCCAACCGTCTGGCCAAAGTGGCTTTCCGTCTGGCTTTCCAACTCTGCCTTGCTGAGCCAGGAAGAGCAAAAGGAGCTGGGATCCTGGAGAGGTGACGTGCACTGGGAAGCCATCTTCACCATCAGCCTGAATGCAGAATCGCCACTTTCTGGGGATCTGGACCTTCTGTCTCCAGCCAACCCCCTAATGCATGACCTGGACTTGATGCTCCCTGGGCAGCACAGCAAGGGTCCCCAGGGGCAGGAGCAGCAGCAGGTTCTCCCCGAAGCCAATCAGGACACCCTGGGCAGCACCAGTTCTCTGCCCATCAGGACCAGTTGTCTGCCCAGCAGGACCAGATGTCCACGCTGCAGGACCACATGTCCTTGCTGCAGGACTACTTGGCTGCCCATCAGGAGCAGTTCTCCTGCCAGCAGGACCAGATATCCTCCTTGGAGGGCCAGTTCTCTTGCCAGCAGGACCTGATGTCCTCCCTGCAGGGCCCATTGGTGAAACCCTCATGGCCACCACTTTCCTGCAGCACATCTTGGAGAAACGGACAGATGATGATGGCCTCACTGTCAATGTGGAGCAGGTGTTGGAATTCAATTATGCCCCCATGGATGATAGACACTGGACCCTAGACCCTTTAGCCCACAGCCTAAACCCTAGACACTGGACCCTAGACACTAGACCATAGACACTGGACCCTAGACCCTTGTCCCTGGGCACTTAACCCCAGACCCTAGACCCTTAACCTTAGAACCTTAAGCCTACAGCCTAAAGCCTAGACACTAGACCCTAGACCCTGGGCACTTACCTCCAGAGCCTAGACCAGTAACTCTAGACCCTTAAGCCTACAGCCTTTACCCTAGACAGTTGACCCTAGAGCCTTAACCCTAGACTTTTTATGCTAGACGTTTTGCTCTAAAAGCTTAACCCTGAACTCTAAAGTCTTGGCCCTTATTCCTAGACCATAGACCTTTGACCCTGGACACTTAACTCCAGATGATAGGCCCATAATTCTAGACCTTTAAGCCTACAACTTAATCCCTAGCCACTGAACCCTTAACCCTAGATACTGGACCCTAGACCCTAGACACTTGACCCTGGGCACGTAACTGCAGACCCTAGACCCTTAACCCGAGACACTAAACTCTAGACCCTTAAGCCTACAGACTAAACCCCTAGACACTGGACCCTAGACATTTTACACTAAAAGCTTAACCCTAAATTCTAAATGCTTGGCCCTTACTCCTAGACAGTAGACCTTAGACTCTCTACCCTAGACGCTAAATTCTAGACCCTTAAGCCCACAGCCTAAACCCTAGACACTAGACACTTTTTTGGTTTTTGGTTCCAATGCAATAAAAGCAGCACCTGATCAGTGCTGTGATTATGAGCACTGATGTTCAAGACCTAAGGATTAGGCACAAGGTGAGTGCTGAGCTCCTGGTGCACTAAGAGGAGACTGGGACCCAAGGAGGGTCTGAGACAGAGGAGATGACATGCTACACAAGCTACACCATGACACACACAGGCTGGACCTGCCCTGCCTGGCACATGCTAGCATCATGACGAAGAGTAACCCACTGCCTTTACCTGCCCAAAGGGACAGTTCCCAGTCAGCCCTCTCCTCAACTCTTCACTTTAAAACCCCTCCCTGCAATTCCCAACCTTGTCCCTCCACCCTTGAGCCCTCCCTAGCACTGATCCCTCAACTTAGCTTTCAAGGGCCACAGGTCTCAGGCCATCCTTGTTTAAAAAGAGCTCCAGCTGGTCAACAGTTGGTCAACTACGTTAGTCCTGGAGCCATCAGGTTCCTCTGCATCACCTGCCAAAAGAAAAATACACCACAGAACATTAAACCACCTTCTCAACTCAAAACATCCCACATGAAGTTACTAACAGGAAAAAAAAAAAGCTGCATGCAAAAAACACTCCTCTGACCATACACAGCACTTACCAGGAGACTCTTACAGATTGTGGATGCCCGTGATACGAGGAGCTTCAAAACACACTGACCCAAACAGCTCCAACAGCTCCAAATTTGCCACCAGCTGCAGGATGAGCAAAGCCCTGACCCCACCACAGTCCCAAACCAGACTGAGTTCCCTGGGCACAAGCAGAGCTCATATACCCCTGGGACCACCACTGCTCTTCCCACAGTCCATGGGAAAGGGGCAGGGCCAAACACCAGCTGGAATTAAGGGGCTGGGGGAGCAGCTGGTTCTGTCACCTGCCTCTGGGGACATGCTGTGGGGCAGGGACAGAGAAGACAGCAGTGAGGACACACCAAAGAGAAAAACTCTGATGGAAAGATCTCTCAAGGGCTATTGAGATTAGCAGACTGATTAAAGGAATAAAGCAGTTCTGAGGAGAAGGATCTGGTAGTGCTGGTAGGTAGTAAACTATCTTTCTTCCCAGAACTTATTTATGGAAAGCCTTGCTAATGGTATCTCAAAGTAGGGAGGAGAAAAAGAAAATCTGTGCTTCCATGGAAATGGAACAGTTAATAATTACTTGCTACTTTTCCTACTATTCAGATGCATTTACCAACTGCTCACCATTAGGATGTATTCTGGAAACTGGAATAAGTTTGGGAGTAAACCCTTCCCTGGAGCAATTTGATAATTGGTGGCAACTGTTATTTACAGCAATATCATATTGCAGTCAATATTGTTTTGCAAACATGAAAGAAAATGAGCTGATGTGCTGTGTGTGGATGGTTTTATGATGGTACAAGAAGAAAATGTAAGTTTAATAAGGAAAGTTGTTGTCAGTCAGTGAAAGGGGATGAGAAAGTAGAAGACATTCAGGTGTTGGTACCTCAGCTCTCCCTCTCCACCCTAGTAATACGAGAGGGGCGAGTGGACATCTGGAGGATACAGATCCCAGTCCAGTGGCTAGAAGAGTGAAGGGACACACAGGGTCCTGCTGCTCATGCCCCTTTATGACAAGCAGTCAAGGTAGAGGGACAACTCATTGATGTGTGTTTTCCTTTTAGAGCATCAGAGCTGTTGAATTGGAAACGGCCTGTGGGGCTAATCAGGAGAGTGTTGGAGCTGCTCAAAACAGTCATGATAATGTATAACCCCAGCTGGGCAATATCCAGGCGTTTTAGAAATCCTCTTCAGTCATGAGGAAAAGTGAAGAGCTGGCAAAAGAAGTGGAAGGTAAATCTCCACAAATGACATGAACTGGGTTATGCCCAGGGAGAGCCCGGATTGGAATCCTGACTCTGGGAGGGACCTGGACAGACTGAAGTGATGTCAGCAGTGCATTTTGTCTGGGGTCCACAAATGGGACCTGCAAACCAAACCAAACCAACTTGTGTATGAGGTTAAAGAGGGGTCTGCCAAAGCATTTTTAGTGTCTTTAGAGAGACTATGTGAGCTTGCTAGAAAATTGGTATATTTGGACCCTGGAGCTGATTGTAAAGTGTTTAACATGCTGTTTACATGTCAGTCAGCCCTGGTAACAGAATGCATGGCAAGGAAAAAGCAGAGGCCAGGGCAGAGTGAGACGTGTGAGATCATTATCTGTGAGGCACTGCTGAAACAAGCACAGTTGGGGTTAAATCAGCATGTATATTGTAAACAAGAAGGGCCTTGGAAAAGGGATTGTCCTGATCGCTGGCAGAAGGGGCCCCTCTATGTCTAAATTATATCAGATCTCCAAATTAGCAGCAACAGATCGAGATGGGGACTCAGACTGACTGTTGGCAGAATTAAATCCCCCAGCAGTACAATAAAGCTGGGGAAAGACAGGGTTATTTTTTGGTGGATACAGGAGCTACTTATTCTGGCCTTAATTCTTGCCAGAGACCTTTAGGTAAGTTTTCTATACAAGTTGTTGGTGCGACAGGGAAAAGAGATATTAAGCCCTTTTTCCAGCTTCTCAGGTTTGAGCTAGGAAAAGGGACCTTGACTCGTTAATTTCTAGACATCCCTGAGTGCCCATTGCTGCTTTTAGGACAGCTTTTTTAGGCAGCTCCCTCGGTCTGTCCTCACAGCAGAGCTGCTCCAGCCCTCACATCACTTTTGTGGCCTCCTCTGAACCCGCTCCAACAGCTTCAGGTCGTTCCTGTGCTGAGGACTCCAGAGTGGGCCACAGCACTCCAGGTGGGGTCTCAGCAGAGCAGAGGGGCAGAATCACCTCCCCTGCCCTGCTGGCCACACTTCTTTGGATGCAGCCCAGGACAGAGTTGGCTGTCCTCTCTTTGGCTGTGGCTGGGCAGGGACCTGGTGGCCACATTGGTGGTCTTAACTGGGCAGGGGGTGTTTCTTGAGTCGGTGCCTGGCAGAATGTGTCTTCCCTCCTTTCCTTCCTCCCATAGTTGTTTGGAGACAACCTGCAGCTTTCTCAGAATACAGACCCTGCCCTCGAGGCCACTGGGGCCCTGACAGCAGCTCTGCCAGGCAGAAGATGGGCAGCAACATCCTGGACACGGCTGAGAGAGACCTGCCTCCTGGCTGACAGATGTCAGGGCCTGGGGGAGTCAGCATGGCTTCCAGGAGCAGTGGACAACATGGCAGGTCAAGTGGACTTAAAATGGCTGTTCCCTATTCCCTGGCCTCTGCCTACTGTCCTTGAAGGTCAAAGCCCCTGAATGATGGACAGCAGGCAAGGTGGGAAAGAAGAAACCCTGTTTTGGCATGCACCTGCCGACAAAACCCAGAAGCTTCTGCTGTGGATACAGCCACATGATTGGACAGGTCAAATGAGCAAAAGCCTGCAGAACGATAGATCCACAGAATCATGGAATGCCAAGTTGGAAAGGACCTCAAGGATCATCTGGTCCAGCCTTTCTAGGTGATACTACAGTTTGTATCAGATGGCTCAGCACCCTGCCAAGCTGAGGCTTGAAACTGCCCAAGGGGGGGAATCTACCACCTCCCTTGGGAGACTATTCCAATGTTTGACTGTCCTCATGGGGAAAAATGTACCTCTTGTGTCCAATGGGAATCTCCCCAGGATCAACTTCTACCTGTCTTCATGGAAAAGACCCCTTGTCTTTTCCATAGGACTCCTTGTAAATAGGGAGTCTCCATCTTCTTGGCAGCCCCCCTTGAAGTACTCCAACACAGTGATTAGCTCATCTGAGCAGCCCGAGTGTTGCTTCACTGGTCACATTGTCTTGGTTTGGGAGTCGGTAACAGATGCCTACTGTGAGGTGTCCCTTGGAGACAACCCCCCTGATTTAGGGGTTGCCCTTCATCAGGGCTGCTACCATTACCACAGCTGACTTGGATGCATCCAAGGTTTTCGTTAACACAGAGTATGACTCCTCCACCTCTTCTCCCCTGCCTGCCTTTACAAACAACCTGGACCATCTCTCAGGGCCCTCCCATCCTGTGGATGGTCCCCCTGTGTTTCAGCTCCTGGCTCCCAGGCTCCTCTCTGGTGAGCCCAGTTCTACCCCCACCCCTTCCAGTCTAGTTTAGAGACCTTTCCAGGAGTGCTCCTGGCTCCTGGCCCAGGGTCCTTTCCCCCTTTGGGCTGGTTGCCCCCCATCTCTTGCCAGCAGCCCTGCTGTCTCCTTACTTTCACAGGGGACATTTGTGTGGCTTAAAGCAAAGTTCAGTGGCTTTAGCCTACACAGAATCTGTCAGTCTGAGTGCAAAGCCAGCGTGGAAACCCCTTTTATTTTGCTTGCACAAAACTGTAGCATATTCTTGACTAAAATGGGTGGGTGTAGCTGTTCAAGGGCTAGGAAGGGAGAGCAGAAGCTAGATGTGCCTTTCTGAAAAAAAAAAATTTCCTGTTTTTTCTTTTTCTTCTGTTTAGTTCTTGAATTTGAAGATGTTTATCTTGAGAATCTACCACAGGCTTAGCTGTCTGAAGGCACAGAGATGTCATTACACGTGTTGCAGGTACTAAAGAAGTGTCTTTTTTTTCCCCCAACTGTATCTTACTGTCAGGTCTGTAATTTTGTATATGCTGAAAGTTTTCATTGTAGGAGTTGAATAATGGAAAGTTACTGAT